GAGAGAAGAAAAACGTTCTTTTCGTTCTCTTCCTCTCGCATATATGACAGCTGTGTTTGCTCTCACTCGCTTGCATGCTTTTCATGATTTTCTCCTGTCTCCCCGCCGCGGACTCGTACTCTGGCGAGCACGTGGGGAGAGTGAGAGGTCTCCGTGAATGATTTCGCGGGGGCTTGGCCCGAATGGCCGCGTATATATCACGGTAGCGATCGAAGAAGTTGTCTCTCTTTCCGTGAGAAAAATGTACTGTATTGTTGACGACAGTGGAATGGAATTGATGGCTGGCATTAAAGTAGACGTATTGAGTAAGTGGTTTATATTTTTTTAATCAAGAGACGTATATATCAACGTTAATAGATAAAATATTCTCAATCGTATTTTATTAGACACACACGTATTTTATTTATACACACACGAGCAGAAATCTAAATTTGAAGATACTATGTCATCATATGAAGTCACCATACCTTATATGAAGCGACATAAAATGATGTCATACTTCATATGAGAAATACTTGTTTAAAATCAATATATTTTTAATTAAAAATGTTATAAGTTATATTTTCAATCGAATACTAAAGCAAATAGTTTAACTGTTAGATATTTTTTTTCCTCGAAATTATTTGATTATTGCTTGTTTCCGTTAAAAGAATATGATATATCAGATTAGTTATATGTAAATAATGCATATGTCATCAGGAAAAGCGGGAAAGTTATGACTTTAAATCTTTAGTCACGGTAGCGTTGCGTGATCCCAGCGAATATGAAGCAGAACGAAAACTCGTCTTCCACAATTTCATCTTATGCGAGATTACCGATAAGTCATCCATCATCGAGTTGGCGCAGGTTAACAAAACGTATAATCACAAGCGACCTTTATCAATATTTTCACTCGCGCAATACTCGATGCAAGAAAAAGTGGATTTCTTCGAGATCTCGCATTCCTGGTTCATCGCGATCAGGAATTTTGTACCTTCACTACGACTTTGTATCGTTGCGGCCGACATCGCCTTCATCCGTCATAAAATATCGGTGCCATCGCGATACGAGAACTATGATACCTTCGCTGTCGATTTCGCTGACCTGAAGCAACTTCTTCGTTTATCCTTGCAAATTTTATTATCATAGTTTACATCAAGCAACATTACCAAAAGTTCCTTTGTTTGAAGTTAATTCTATACATTATTGCATATTGGTAACAATTTATTAATGATATGTACATAATAAATTTTATAATTATTTCTAATCGTTCATTAATACAAGAACTATTATACAATTCGCGCTTGTCAAAAATTTAAAAAAATATTTTTTTTAATAATTTTATATATTACACTTTTTTCATTCTCATTTTTTAAAAATTGCATTATGATGGCCAATAAGAATTCTAAATCTTTCATCAGATTCGTTTTATAATATATCGTAATATACCGTGAACTTCTGCAAATAAATACTATAAATTAGAAGTCTGCCACAGAATTATCGACTAATAGGTAAGTATTTGTACGTCTGATCGTTTCTCGATTAATTTCCTATTTCTTCTTATTCTTATATTCAAATTATAAGATAACATCAAGAATGTTAGGTGTATATGTATGTTACAAAATTTAATTACTTTTAATGAATATAACGATATACTCTTTTATTTTTGTTAGACATAATTTTATTATGTCATAAAATCAACGTATTCAAGTTATATGAATGATATCTAATGTTCTCATCTGAAATCCTATAAATGGCTTAGAAATATTGAAATTTCATGTATTACGATCTAGATTAAATCGAATAGTCGACAGATCGGTAAAGTGTCTTACTAACAGATCCATGAAGTGAAATTACTCTAGCCGTTGGCACCTCGTTAATTGTTGCGGTAGCTTTGTAATTTGTAGTTCCGGTTGTGGTCAGCAATCCGTCATACAGTAGTCGGCACGTGACAAATTACAACGATATTGCCATAGATACATCAAGACAAAGATGATATTATTCTTTAACGACTATTCAATTGAGTAATCATCGATACTTAGTGTTAGTATTCAGTACATTTTCTTGTATTTCGTATTTATCTTTAATTACTATTAATAATTCGTTAAATTTTAGTGCGGAATTTTTGTGTTCATATATCTTTTAATGTGTGATTTAAAGACTTTTTTTGTTATTATAGTTCAGCTTTTTAACGTATGTCTACATTGGTGAACATATTATATAATATCTTTCAAAAGTTTCTCTCTATATAATTATTGGAGAAAGAATTTCATACGTGTTAAAAAAATTCTCGAAAATGGGGACAACACGAATTTATTACAAATTATATTATCATCACGAGTTTAAAGAGGATGCAATTGCCATTTAAATAATATCTTTAAGTTTTATTAAATAACGCATTAGCGCGGATTATTTTGAAACTCTTTAGTTTCGCAAGAGAAATATTTATATATAAATTTGTAAACAGCTTTATTATGTAACATCTTCCATAAGGTTTATAGATATAATTATTTGGAGAAAAAAATTTCACATACATACGCACGCATATTACAACAAAGATTTATGAAATTGTGACATCACAAATTCAGTTTAATTATTACTATTATTAATATGAAGAGGATATGATTGCTATATCCAACCATTCAAATAATCCCTCTAAGTGTTGTTAAATGATACATTAAGACATGGTGAAATTTTAATTTTATAAGAGTAATTAAGAATAGAGAGGATTTGGTGTTAACGTCTGCTTCATGACTTCACATCTCGTATAATAAAGCTGGTCTTTTAAATTCGAAAATCATTGACCCTAATAATGCTGATAAAACTTTCCGATGATTGTCACGAGGCCGAATGAATTGAAACAAATTGAAAAATCTGACAAAGATTGGAAATTGCGATTCGGAAATTGCGAAAACATCGTGTGAATAACGAAGATAATAATTTATACTCCATCATCGCAATATAATCGTTTGGTTTTAGCAACGAAAAAGTTTCCGATAATTGACAGAGATGACATTTTGCACAATAGAAAGTTTTGCTACAATAGAAAGTAGAGTATTCGTCATTAGCGATTATTAATTATTGAAATTGCCAACTTGAGTATAAATAAATACGTATTATTTTATTTTAACTACAGTAATTTATTTAAGAAATAATTTAGTTTATAATTACTGTTTTTGAATAAAAATATACAATTACGTTACAACAATAATTAAATAAATCTGAGAAATATTTTGTAACTCATAATTAATGGCTGGATTAAAATGCAATGGTTGCGTACAACTATGGAAGAAATTTTAAAAAATATTGTTTTTCTACAAAAATAAAATTTATTTTTTTCTATAAAAAACATTCGTTACAATTTTTTCTGTCACAAAATCTTCAATCATCACGTTCGTCCTTCATTAAATTTTTATACCGGAAACTAACGAGTATGTACATACTAACTTTTCGTATTTTCACTTTATTTTCACTAATGGCTGCCGCACATTTTGTTATATATTTTAATGAATTCTTGATTTCTGATTTAATTACTACTAATTACTACTACTTTAATTACTACTAATTAGCACTAAGTTATTTTTAAAAAATTAGATATTTTTTTATTAGATTCGTTTCTCTTGGATGTCTAATAAAATACTATTAGCGTTTTTAAGAAATTTTATAAATATGATTTATAAACGTATTCCGACAAATTAATAGGACATTTTTATGCAACAAAATTATTCGCTGCTACTTCAGAATAAATGCTACCGATTTAATATCGATACTCATCAATACAGACAAGAGTTTTACGCGAATTAAATAATGTGTATACAGGACACGTTGCAAATTAGAATCAAATTTTCTAGAATATGCGCAATGACTGTGATAGCATGTAATCGAATAACTGATGGGTTAATCGTGTTATAGGCAGTAATTTCAACAGTTTGCTAAAATTTTCTCTTGACTGTCTGTCCCGTTACACGTCAATTAAATACGAATGATTACATTGAATATAAAATTAATCCGAACATTTATCTCATTTAATTTAAATGGCTCTTCTTTTAATGCATTTGACGCAAGTTGCTGTAACCTAATACAAATTAATATATCTAACGCGCATATAAGTTAATGTTATTTATATATATTTGAGAATAATTTTTTTTATTTTTGTGTGCGCGTTTTCTCTTTGTTAAGAAGTCCGTATTATTGCATGTTTCACAGAATGCAATTTCATTATTCAAAATCCGTGCTCTTACAATATAATTTTCATTCGTTCTCGTAAATCGGAGACGCGGGTGTCGAGTTTGCCACAAATTTGCGCAACACGAACACAATAATGCGCAAGAGCGATGCATTGATGCACCGCCTCTCACTTGCACGTTGAAATACTGGTTGTATAATAGAATAAATAAGTAAGCGGAAGAGTCTGTGTCTTCATAGCAACTTGGCATTTTAATTTCCCCCCGAGATATTTCATTTTGCCATATATCTCCTTTTCGCTCCTTCTTGTCGCGTATTTGTTTCTCTCTTAATTTATAATTATTCTTTTTTTATTCTACAATTTTCATATTGCATTCAGATTTTGCGAGAATTATTAATGGAACGCAATTGAATACGCGCATGATTCCTATTTGTTATATGTTGTAATTTGCATATAAGTTTGAGAGCATTCACGTAAAACAGATCAACATTATCTCTAATCTTCAATATTTAATTTAATGTTTAATTTTTCATTGTTTAATTTTTATAGGCAATATTCATTTTTATATCCTTATTTTGCAGGCAATATAATAGTATGTCCTCAATATTG